CCGTAGTCTGGACAGCCTGGAAAGGCCTCTAGATCCACCTCCACTAAAAATAAAAAAATAAAATTTGTTCTAACTTCTAATCGTTTTGTGGCATCGAACACCTCATACAACCACCGAGGCTTAGGGCGTTGCCGCACGGCACATGAAACGAATGTATCGTCCCCCAGAAAATGGCCAGGTTCATCGGTTTGCTATAAATAGTAACGAGTGTATTTTGCCACCTTTGGTGGGAAGATGCACTTGTTTCGTTTTCGTTTCGTGTGCCGTGCGGCGAGACCCTTACCTCTGACCGCCAGTGCCTCCTTTGTCTGTCTGTATTGGAGAAGAATCGAAACGACTGCTGACCCTCAGTGCCTCCTTTTGTCTGTCTGCATTGGAGCAAAACCTGTGTGGCCTGGCACCGCTTAGAAAACAGGGCTTGCGTTCGTTTTTTTTTAAGTACTATTTTTAGGTCATTAACAAGACAAATCACTCCACCAGCTGTGAATGGCTATGCACCATCACCCATGGAACCAAGAAAGATCAAAACAGGGCTTTCTTTTTTTTTTTTTGTAGACAGGGCTTGGCTTATTCGAAGTAAGGTCTAGCTTTTTGTCTCATGGTCTACTGATTGCAGTGGTCCTCAACGACGTGAGCATCCTGTGCTTTGCAGGGGCGGTTGTGATCCCAACAACTGTCGATGCAGGTGGATGTTCACATGGTTGTGTGCACCTGCAGGAGGACAATGACTCTGCTGGAGGAGTTTGACGTTGGGCTATGCCCACCGCATGTTCAGCATTGGCTAGGCCTACCCTTTGGCAATTCAAGCTTCTGGTCTGCACCGTCTGGAATCCTATCCGGGAGTCTCTACGGCCCACGCTTAAACGTTTCAAGCGATTACGCCGGACCTGCATGTCGACCGTCTTTACGGTCTCACTCTGCTCGACAGTCGGAGACCTCGCGCGGTCATATGGGATGGCCAGTGGAAAGCCTTGCAGGTGATGGTTATCCTCCTCCGTCCGAGACAGATACGTTGCATGAAGTCTGTTTTGAATGTGAAGATTGATGTTGGCTATGCTTTCCTCTTTTGATCGAAGGGAGACACGTCATAGGAAGTCTGTTTCGATTGGCTTTGACTTGAGATGTGTGTGGCTGCTTGCATTGTTTTGAGCTTTTGCTCTTGTGGGTACGGGAACGCCGTAGACTTGGGGAAGCCGCCGTACTTTTTCTAAATCTTTACTTTCCTTTTGTATTATCACGTATCGTGTTTTCTGCAGCTAAATCTTTACGTTTCTTTTGTATTATCGCACGTTTTGTTTTCTTGTTTTCTGCATCTTCCGGGCTCGTTTCGTTCTCCTGCTTTGTTGTCGTGCTGGCCGTTTTCTTGCCACTCCTTGGCTTCCATTTACAAACATTTTGATTGTTTTGCCGGTTGTCACAGTCTCATGCTGGTCCTTTTCCACCCCGCTACTCGAGGGCTGGCACACTACCCTTCTCCACGCTGGTGCAATCCGCTGAGGCTGCTGGGACAGCGATCGAGTCAAGAAAAAGCAAACCATCTCGGCAATCTAATGGGAAAAAGAAAAAAACAAAAAAAAATATAATGAAGAACACGCAGATGCTCATCGAAGAGCTGATCCTACCATCTTTGCCTGAATAGCACCCCCTGCCATTACAACTTCAGCTACACTGAGGTGGCCCGCCGTGCCATTCGATGCAGCAACTGTGACTGCGAAAATTGGATGCGGTGCTTCCATAGCCCAGACCCGAACCGGTCCTGTCCGGTCTGTAGGGGTGGCCACTCGCCATAATGTTTTATTTTTTTTCAGCGGTGAATATTTAGAAATCTGTGAAACCCGTCATACACCTTTCCCCTGCTCTTTGAATGTCATACTCTATCCTGCCCTCCACATATTTCCCTACCTCCCCTGCCCCATACTCCTAGAGAACTCCGCCTTCTATCCCGTACCCTCCACCCTCCCCTCCACTCCCTTTGTACTACTAGCAAATACATTCGAATGAGCATCATTAAGAGAATAGACGATATGAAGATCATAAATGAAATGAACGGAAGTATGAAGATGAAGGACGGGCACAAAGACCGTATAAGCTGAAGATCTGAAGTGAAATGAACAGGAGTATGAAGCTCTGAAGAGATGCACAGGAGCATACCTTCCCTTCTACTCTGCCTCCGGAAATAACATGCAAGTGGGCCGTGAAGGCACATGGGGATGTGGGCAGCTGCCGCTCAACCACAATCAACGTGGGCAGCCTTGTGCGTAAGAGGCACAGTAAAAGGGGAGCTGCAAGAACAATGAAAGGGGTACCCCAAGGACAACCAAAAAACTGTCTAATTATAAAATTGCTTTCATTAAATTCATTATTTTAATATGTTGGACATCTCAAATGCTCTCGTTGTCTGCAATAGGACAAAGACTGCTTTGATTCTGAATCTATTCACATGGGTGGAATTGGGGCTGTTGTGGGGGAAATCTAAAACACACACACACACACACACACACACACACACACACACATGGCGGATGGGGTCAGTACTTTCTTGCTGGTGGAGTCCTCTGTCTTAGGTAAGTTGCTTCTTGCCCTCCATCCTTTTATGGATCAAATAAATATATGTAAATATGTATAATGTGCAAGTGTGCGGCTTCGATGTGCCGGTACTTGGCGCTGAACCACACAAACGTGGCCAACTTTGCATTTTCTATCATATTGTCTATCTATACTTTTTTTCATTATGGATGGTTTGTTATGATTTGTGGAGGAAATGAGAGAGAGAATTTGGGGTGCTTTAACAACCCACACACGGACACACAGTTTTTGGCACCTCTGTCGTGCCACAAGTGGTTAACGGGGACCCCCACTTTCAGGCCCTGGGTAACAGGTCCAAAACTGAAATTAGGGTTTTGGGGTCAAATGACCCATTGGTTTTCTTATAAATGGCATGGCAAGTGGTCTGAAAATGAGGGGTCTCCGGTAACCTGCTCTCCTCTGTCGAACGTGCCGCCCAAATGTTTTCTTCCTTGTCCTGTCCTGGTTTTTCTGGGGGAGGGACGGGGTGTGCCACCGCACCCTGCCTGTCCCTGATTGTTTTCCACGACCCCCATTTTCGGCGCATGGATGCACGTGTGCTGTGTTTTGCACATGCGGCATACTCGCACCTGAAGTGTGCCGCATGTATGGTACATACCAATGGGCCTAGCTCAGTTGGTACACCGATGGACTGTTGGAATGCGGACCCGAGTTCGAATCCAGATGCAACCAGATGCCCAGAATAACATAATTCTGAATTCCCTGGCCCAGTCACTTAAAGGTGATATCCCAAGGTGGTGGCCCTTCTTTTTTTTTTTTAAGAAGAAAGAAAGGAAAAAGGCACAGTAGACTCTAAATAGCAGACCGTTGTGATGTTCTTGTGCCTCTTCCTCTGTTGTGTTTATTGTGATTGCAACAGCTCCCCAAAGATTCCAGATTTGCTGGGGCATCTCTATTTCTAGAGATTCCCTGAGGAGAGTGCGCTATCAGTGATGTGGAGGGAGAATCGTCAGCGCAGAATGACGCAGCATTGCCCATGTGTCCTTGCACTGGTTTGACATTTCTTATCCCCCTTCTAACCCTGGTTTCTAGTGTGCTGAGCTGCACTGCGCTGCAGGCAAACTTAAGTGGAGCCTATGTTAACCCTGGTTTCTAGTGTTGTGCTGAGCTACACTGTGCTGGAGGCAAACTTAAGTTGAGCCTATGTTAACACTGGTTTAAAGTGTTGTGCTGAGCTTCACTGTGCTGCAGGCGGACTTAAGTGGATCCTATGTTAACCCTGGTTTGTAGTGCTTTGCTGAGCTGCACTGTGCTGCTGGCGGACTTAAGTGGAGCCTATGTTAACCCTGGTTTGTAGTGCTTTGCTGAGCTACACTGTGCTGCAGGCGGACTTGAGTGGACCCTATGTTACCGTTTGACCACGATTCACTGGAAGGAGTGCCGTGATCCTACCATACTTTTTTTTTTGGAAATAGGTGTCAAGGAATGTTGGGCAGTATTGTGAACAAGGGAACAGTTTGACAGAGCTCTGTGCACTACTCAGGACCTGGTACTTAATGCATTTTTCAGTTATGGTATTTGTTACATTGTCATTTTGGTAGAAGAGTTTCAGCAATCGAATGACAATGGCAGTTGGCGATGGTGGGGGGAAATTCGACTCCTCGTACGGCAGAAATGAAGACAATTGAAGGCGTGAACTGGCAGTCGTCCACCAGTGTTGCATTCGTTCTCTAACCAGTGTTTTGTAAAGTTTTATACACAGTTCAAATCAGCGATCGCCCTTTACACAGACACCCTTCACATCGGTTAATGATGGATTTGTAAGATGCTCACCTCAAGGAAAGAGGTCTGTGTATTGTAGATGGGGCTGCGTTTGTTATTTGTTGCTTGTGACCATGCAGTGAGAGACTAGGAGGTGTCCTGATCGGTCTGCTTGTGTGCTCGGCACTTGTCGGTGAGAGTCGACTAGGCAGCCACTGGTCGGTCATTGTGTCCTTGTCAGCAAATTGTACGGTATATGATTGATTGCTCAATGCAATTTGGTTTGGTGGCCGCTGGTCTACCCGGTCAGGCCTACCTGGGCAGACGTTCGATGGAGAGGTTGACGTTGGGGTGTGGGGTGGAAACTTTGTATGTAATATATATCATGAAATAAATTATGTATGTGAATGGGCAATATATAAGACTCAGCGAACACGACAATTTGATATGGTAAGAGAAGGAAAAACCTGTCAGTCGTGTTGGCCTGTTGGCAACCCCCTTTCCTGATCTTTTCGCTGGTTTGTAGTCTGTCTGCTTTTTTGTTGTTGTTGTGTTGTTTTCCCCTTGCTAATATCCTTGCCCCACCTGTTTGTTCATGCAATTGTGTGGGCTTCAGAGACTGTCGTGTCCCGTATGTTCTGGTCGTTCTTCTTGGAGTAGGATAAAGAAAGACATGCCATGGAGCCGTGCACGAAGGTTGGTGAGCGTGACAGGTGTGGTAGCCTCCAGGAGGGAACGGCATTGCCGGAGGGGTGGCAGGAGTTGTGTGGGAGTGAGAGGGGCGGCAGTCCAGCCTGGTCTCGTGGGAAGTTGCTGGGAGCTGGCGGTTTCGGGACTGTCAATCTCGCTGTGATGAAGGACACGGGACATGTGTTTGCAGTGAAGTCTGTGAAATGCAACGGTGGGGACAAGAGGCTTGTCGACGAACTGATATCGGCTTTGCATAATGAGCATCAGATAATGGAAGCACTCTCCTCTCCGTACATTGTGAAGTGCCTTGGTTCAGACCGGACGTGGGAAGACGGAAGTGAAATGCAGAACCTCTTCCTTGAGTATGTTCCCGGCGGAAGCATTGTTGACGTGATGAAGAAGCTAGGCGGAAAGCTGTCAGAGCCTCTGGTTCGCTGGTATACCCGTGGAATTCTCAAGGGTCTCCGATATCTGCATCGAGAAGCAAACGTCGTGCACGCTGACATCAAAGGCCAGAATATTCTTGTTGTTTCTAGCAAGTACTACGGGATTCCGCGTCTCCGCTCAAGTGGCAAATCCATCGAGCGCAAAGAGAGAGGGGGTTGGGTCTTAGAGTCCAGAGTCCCGATCCTGAAGGCAGCTGGCCTGGATGATGAAGCGATCGTGAAGCTGGGCGATTTCGGGGTTTCAAAACGAGTGGGCGACGACATGATCAACGGCCGGGACTTTCTGTCCATCCGCCGTTCGACTAGCCTGAAAGGAACCGTCTATTGGATGGCCCCGGAAGTAGTTCGGCAGGTAGAGCAGGGGCCTCCTTCTGACATATGGTCGCTCGGTTGTACCGTCATCGAGATGGCCACTGGGAACCCTCCTTGGGCATTCACTGATCCTGTTGTGGTCTTGTACCAATTAGCTTATGGTGACAAACTTCCTGAGCTTCCTGGCAATCTGTCACCGACTGCAATGGACTTTCTGCGCAAGTGTTTGGTCCGGGACCCATCGGCACGGTGGTCAGCTTGTGAACTACTTCAACATCCCTTTGTCATGGAGCCCCTCGTACCTCCTACCCCTCGCCCTCTCAAACTGAGAATACGATTTAAAGACGGTTCACAACCACCACGGGTGCCAGGTGCAGTGCTTCATGTTGACTGTCATGGGCAATCGGGCTCGGTGAAGAACAGGCCATCTAGCAATCGAAGCGTTGGGTCAGCAGGGATTCCAGCCCTGGTGAGAGACGAGGAAGCTAGATCTCTTCATGGGTTTGTGGCAACGAATGCGTGCCTCAGTCAGTGGGTGACGACAAGTGGAAACTGTCACTGGGAGATTTCCAGCTTTTTGCTCTTTTGCAAAATGTCGTTGCACTCTTGCTCGCATATCCTCAAGGAAATAGAACTCGTAAGGATGCCGCGGCCTGTGCACCGAGTAGATGAAGTCAAATGCCGAGGGAAAGATTATTATCCCACTCCTTGCCTCGACGTTATGCGCAATGACGAGAACATGCCTGAGGATGTCGTCCTCCAGCAGGAACGGAAGGCTGCAATTTCTGGGTATGTGGGGTTCGGAGAGGGGTGTGTCCAACCCTGTAAATCCTGTAAGGCTGGTGATGGCTGCGTTTCGAATAGCTTGGCATGGATGTGGGGTTTCTTATTAGTGGGAGGGGCTGCACCAGCCGTAAGTCAGGCAGCGCCACATGGACCTGACAATCGCAGGAACGGCGATTTTTGCAACTTCGAAAGCTGTACTGGTCGCCCCTCTCCTAGTTCTTGCGGACCAGAAAGCGGTCTGTCCGATACCGACCAAAGCGATTCACTATCAGCCGCAGAGACAAGCGAAGCGCGAACCGGAAATGAGGCAACAGACGACAGCAAGTGTCCGTGGGGACTGGTAACCAATGTGCCAGAGGCTGACCCAAGTAAGTCCATACCAGCCATGGAGAATCGTGGTGATCGAACTGGGGGGGGCATGGAGACGGAGGATGGTGGCAGGTGCGAAGCTGCTTATTGTGCAGATGATGCCTGTTCGGTCGTCAGTATCTCGGATACTTCCGGTAGTTGCGGACTGAGCAGTTCGCCAATCCAGAACCAGCATGCGAGTGCAGGGGAACAGCAGATAGTTTCGAGTACGGAAGGCATGGGATTCAGAGATGCAAGATCGGCACTTCTTGTCCGGGCTGCGTCGTGGACACAGATATTTCGGGTATGGGGTTTATGGCCTTATCAGAATGTCTTGCTCCGGTGGGAATGTGGTGAGAAGGCTTTGAAGTTAGATGCAAGATTTCCTGCTGATTCTCGGGGCCCTCTGGTAACTGGTACCTGATGTGCTGAGGGGTTTCTGCCGGGTGGCTGTGCCCGTTGACTTGTCTAATCGTGTGAGTGCTTTGTCTTGGATTGCAGTTGCAGTGGGCTTTGCCATAGGAAAGGTCGGGGGTGCGAGTGGAAGAACTGCCAGGGTGTCATCTGCACTTGAACCGAATCGTTCATGAGGTAAGTAGACATGGTCCTGCTTGCTTCAGGCAGTAAATGGGCCTTTCTCCACTACTCACCAAGTTCGGGATCGTCTCCCCTGCCAAAAAGGCTAAGCGAGGTCGGTGGCCTCAGGTGGGTTTCATCGTTGCTTTTCAATGCACAAGGCGCTACCACGACACAAATTTCTTCATTATCCTCACCAGGTTCAGCATCGACTCCCCTCTACCAAAAAGACTCATGGATGCCGGTCGCTTCAGGAGGGTTTCATCGTTTCTGTTCCACGCACAAGGTACTTCCGCTACGCGACTTTCTTCCTTCCAATCGGAATACAGAGATTGACAGTAGTTTGCAGTCCAGGATGCACTTGACTCCCACCTCTACCGTCTTCCCCCGAACACAACGTGCCCTCAATTTGTCTGCACCGAAACCGGGAAGAGCTTGTGTACATTTGTTGTCAGGATGCGTTGTGTGTGGGAGAAGGCAGTAGTTGGGAAGGGATGGAAGGGATGAATGGAGAGGAAGGAGGGGCGAGCCTGTCGCCAATGATTGCAGGCAGGATGCTGCGGACCGAAGAATGTGCTATTCCTCGTCGGTGACGAGGTTGTGGTACTCCTTATCCTCAAGATCCACATGGCTCTTCTTTAGAGCTTGTTTTCTCATTCAAATGTGTGCATGCACACCCTCCAGGAAGATTTAGGGTTTGTCTGATAAATGCTGCTCAGTGTGTAGATTGTACTTCTTCCGCAGCTTTACATGGATTCCATCTGTCAGCAAGCAGGCCTTCTGTACATACCAGCCTGTGATGCTGATCTACAAAAATATCCCTCTTCTTCGCAGCGGGAGCCGCCGCCTACGATCCTTATGGTTGTTGCGGAATGTGGTTTTGCACTAACTTTGTAGTGGTAAACTGGTCGTACTTTTGCACTTTTATCTTTTTTCTTCACTTTTACAGTTGATTACCATTCATTGGTTCAATTCTTTTTGCACAGGAGTTGGTATCCCTATTATACGCTGGAGGTAGGCTGCTAACCTGCTCTAGGTGTAGGCTGACCCTAGGTGTAGGTCCAATTTGTTTTTAAGTCATCATAGTAGCTGCGGCCCACACCGCCATGTATCAAGTCATGCTGGATGCTGCGTGAAACATGTGGGTGAAGGGGTTCATTTGTGTTACCTTGATGTGGGAGTATTCAGTCGTTGTTAAACGTAGATTCCGGCCTCGGGTTCAAAACATTTGTTCTATGCATACTTGCAAGCGGACGCCGTCCGGGCGGTTCTGCACGTGCGGCGGACCGCTGGACCGGACCCGCGCGGCGCACGAATGTGCGCCCGACGACCAGTTACCCCCCACCCCAAAAAAACAAACTGGCCCCGTCCCGTCCGGTCCGGTCCGGTCCGGGGGGAGAGTGCCGCACGCGGCAAAGCAGACCGGACCAGAACGGACGCTCGTCCGGTCCATCCGCTTGCAAGTATGGTTCTATGGCATGTTTACCATGCCGATCATCAATGCAAACTGACAGGTTAACTAAAGATGCCAATTCCAGTTAAGGCTTCTGGCAAATAGGGTTGCAGCGCATGGGACTAACATAGCATAGAGGTTGAGGGGAAGAGTTTCTTTTTCTTTTCTTTCCCTTCACAGAATGTTCTGTTTTTTTAAATTTTTTCAGGTACTTTTCTTTTTTTAGGAGTGTGCAGTCTTGCGGAGGATGATGTGCTAATTGGCATCATCATCACAATTGAAATAACATAGTTTGAAATAATTGGCAGCGGTTGGAGCACTGTGCATGCTGCTGATTTGCTGGAGTGTGGGCGTATAGCTTGCAAGGAAGCAGATGTCTGCCATATGGCGAGTGCTGGTGGCGTATAGCTTGCAGTGAACACATGGCGAAAGGATGGAGCAGCTCCCGACTTAGGACAGAACGGCAGCGGTTGTAACACTATGCATCATCACGAAGTGATCATCAGAGTGCTGGTGACGAGGATGTGCTGACATGGATGTCCTCGCAGTGAACACATGGTGAAAGGATGGAGCAGTTCCCGACTTAGGACAGAACGGCATCGGTTGTAACCATACTTGCAAGCAGACGGACCGGACGAGCGTCCGGTCCGGTCCGCTTTGCCGCGTGCGGCACCCTCCCCCCGGACCGGACGGGGGCGTTTTTTTTTGGGGGGGAGAGTGGGGCGTAACTGGTCGTCGGGCGCACATTCGTGCGCTGCGCGGGTCCGGTCCGGTGGTCTGCCGCACATGCCGAACCGCCCGGACGGCGTCCGCTTGCAAGTATTATAACACTATGCATCATCACGAAGTGATCATCGGAGTGCTGGTGACGAGGATGTGCTGACATGGACGTCTGGCTAAAGGATGGAGCAGTACCGTGCAAGTGGTGGTGAGAAGGTTGGTAGGAAACCTACCCGACTCTGCTATTTGTCTAGAATGTTGTTCATGGCACTGTTATGCTTGAGCCCAGTGGGATGTTTTATTAAATCACCTGCCCCACCATTCTGACTCCGTTGCTACACCCTGAGGAGGCCGCGCTGGGATCGAAACCAAACACGCCCAGGGGACCGTTTTCAATTTGCACCCCTGCCAAGCCTGTGCCGGGCCTGTGTTCCGAGCCTGGTTGGGACCTTGCGGTTTTACGAACCGGGAAATTTTCTTGCACCCCCTTTGTAGACCCAGCTGTTTTCGATTTGCGCCCCGGCCAAGCCCGTGCACGGCGTGTTTCCTGTGGCTCGTTGCAACCTACGAGTTATGAACTGGGCATTTCCTTGGTTGCGCAGCAAGGCCCTTCTCTTAGTTTAAAGCACCAGGACATGCGAGCTAGCGGTCGCAGGCCCCTTTCGGAGGCCTCTGGCCGCCGATTCATTTTATCTATGGCGCCGGGCCTCCTAAATTTCCAGAGAGGCTCAAAACATGTTTTCTCCAGTTGCATGGGGCCATGTACTGGTGGTTTAAACTTCAAACCACCAGTGCCTCCACGTTCTTAGGCCGTTAACGCGATGGCTGAATTTGCCTGCCGTCCGGGACTATATTCATTCGAGTCAGAGGGAGCCTAAGAATGCGGTAGGTACTAGGTAGTAGTTTAAGCTGGTGATACAGCAGATGGGTGCCATGTGCCCTTTTCGATGGTGGACTTCACTAGACAAACACGCCCTATGGGACATCTCCTGCGTTTTCCGGTTTAGGATCTCTCTTCTCCCGTAAGGCTGCTCCACGAGTGCGAAGGTTCCTGATTTTTTATTTTATTTTTATTTATTTATTTTTTAAAGCTCCCTTCCAGTGCTAGTGGTGCTGGTAAGAGCAGACACCACTAGCACCTGAGGAGAGGCTCCATCTATTGGTGGGGAGCATGCATCACCTGCTGGAAAACGGGTCCAGCGTCCCTGATACAGAGAAGATTTGGGGTATAGGCCCGACTTTGACGTTCGTTTGGTGGAACGGAGGGAGCATGGGTGAACTGTACGCTCAGCTCAATTTGGTGTTCGCTTGCTTTGCACGGAGCGGAGAATGCTTTGAGTGAGACAAAGTACATCGATTTCTCACTGGTGTCATGTGAGTGTTGGATATGCTCGTACGTTCGTGTGAGGTGTTACGTTCTTGCGAACACCTCGCTCTGGGTGGTTAGAACTTAGAGGAGGTATGGTTATGGGTTTACGTAATTCTTTTGATCTGTGAAGTCATTTGCTCTCCATGGTTGCCGAGTCGCTCTGTCGGTTGGAAAAGAGCATGGGTAAAAGTTTTCAGTCTCATCCACTCGAGAGAATTCTTCATGCCGCCGCAAACGTCCGAGTATATTTCGGATTCCTTTGACCCTCTCTTCGCGCTTTTAGCTTTCTCGATCTCCGTTGAATGATCAGTACTTGGCACTTGCCATTTCCCTTTGGAAGACTGACTATCACAAGGTTAACAGCATTTAGAAACTTCAGAGGTTCTCCTTTGGATCCCAACGTGTTAAGTTCTCCACACGATGGTCCTTCGCTTCGATTTTTTGGTCGGCACTCCTCTGGAAAATGACGTGTTCTGCAACAGGACCTCAAATATAGACAGACGCTGATAGAGGCGCACATACACATTGAGAGGAGAGACAAAGAGAGGGGAGGGCGGAGGGGGGAGGGGGGAGGGAGGGTGCGAGATTTGTACATAAGCTTTTGGCAGGAACATTAGAGGCTTTGTAGGTGTCTATAGTTCGGAGTCTTCAGAGGTTGAGAAAGCGAAAAGGGTTTTTTTTTTTTTTTAATCGCCACCAAGGAAGGGGGGGGCCATAAAGTTTTCTGTGCCTCTCAGAGATTTCAAATTCCATGTGGTGCAAGCTAAAAAAAAAAAAAAGCTCGCCGAGTTTATAATAAGGTCTTGACTCTTGAGGGCTTTGCTCTAGGTTTTCTGGGGCTAGGTCCCACTTACACGAATTTAGCGACATTGACAAATGATTTGCACAGATCAACAGCCCGAATCTCTTAATCCGTGCAAGTGGGACCTTGCCCCTGGGATCTGTACGCGCGATAATCTTCGGTCATTACCTGAATAGGAACACCGATGTATTGTTTGTTGAGTACATCGTCTTTTTCACCGTTTCATTCATTTATGATTATTTGTCTGTTAATGAGAAGTGGTGGCGACAGCCACAAGAAAGAGGATTGTTTCCTGCTTTTGCAGTTCTTAGTTCTATCCTCTGCAGTCTTCCCTTTTGCAGATTTGTCCCTCTTGAGGCTGTGCCGCCTCTGCGAAATCGGTCTGTCGGATTACAGGTTTTGCTGCTTCATCGCTGTTTCTTTTTTTTTAAATAAAAAAAAAAAAAAACAGCCCGGGCTGCTGCTAGCGGTGCTGGTAAGAGCAGGCACCACTGTTCTCACTGTTTCTTTGTCCTTCGGATGCTTATATTAATCATCACCTGCGAAAGCGAGGACGGGTTGGGATACATACGGTGGTCATGGAGGGAGGTACGGTAAGATGTCATCGTAAAAGAACTTCCATCTGGGAGAGGCAGGCAGTCTTTCTTCACAGTTTCCGTATCTTCTGCCAGCGTCTTATGGACATTGAGATTTTCCTCCTCACTTGGGGCAAAAATGTAATTGATGAGAAACAGCATCGAGGGAAATTCGCTTGCTCGTGCCTAAGCTACGTCTGATGAGATGATTTATCTGTAGGCCTTGTATTATATAATAATTATAATAATAATAATAATAGAGCAGGCCTGTATGAGAGGCTTAAGGTTTGGTTGTTTTCTCAGTGAAACCACCAGCATTAGGCTATTCGCCCCCGGACCGAAAGATCGAACTGTAGACAAAGAGCGTGCTGCACTTTCAACGTACTAGCCTGCATGAGCCGGTTCGACTTGTTCGGGTGCAAAAGATTTCGGTTCGGTGATTTATGGTTCCTCCGTGTTGGCGGTATTCGCCCCATGGACCGAAAGATCAAACTGTAGACAAAGAGCGTGCTGCACTTTCAACGTACTAGCCTGCATGAGCCGGTGCGCCTTATTTCGGGTGCAAAAGATTTTGGTTCGGCGATTTATGGTTCCTCCGTGTTGGCGGTATTCGCCCCACGGACCGAGAGATCGAACTGTAGACGAAGAGCGTGCTGCACTTTCAACGTACTAGCCTGCATGAGCCGGTTCGACTTTTTCGGGTGCAAAAGATTTCAGTTCGGCGATTTATGATTCCTCTGTGTTGGCGGCCTCAAGTGCTACATAGTACATACCCCCCCCCCCTGAAGCTGTTGTGTGCCATTT